GAGCCCCGGTACACAGAGCGGCAGGTGTCGGCGTGTAGAGCCCCGGTACACAGAGCGGCAGGTGTCGGGTTATAGAGCCCCGGTACACAGAGCGGCAGGTGTCGGGTTATAGAGCCCCGGTACACAGAGCGGCAGGTGTCGGGTTATAGAGCCCCGGTACACAGAGCGGCAGGTGTCGGGTTATAGAGCCCCGGTACACAGAGCGGCAGGTATCGGCGTGTAGAGCCCCGGTACACAGAGCGGCAGGTGTAGGCTTATAGAGCCCCGGTACAGGGTGGGAGGTGTCGGCTTTTAGAGCCCCGGTACAGGGGTGGGAGGTGTAGGCATATAGAGCCCCGGTACAGGGGTGGGAGGTACCAGCATATAGGGCCCCGGTACAGGGGTGGGAGGTGTAGGCATATAGAGCCCCGGTACAGGGGTGGGAGGTACCAGCATATAGAGCCCCGGTACAGGGGTGGGAGGTGTAGGCATATAGAACCCCGGTACAGGGGTGGGAGGTGTAGGCATATAGAGCCCCGGTACAGGGTGGGAGGTGTCGGCTTGTAGAGCCCCGGTACAGGGGTGGGAGGTGTAGGCATATAGAGCCCCGGTACAGGGGTGGGAGGTGTAGGCATATAGAGCCCCGGCACAGGGATGGGAGGAGTCGGCGTGTAGAGCCCCGGTACAGGGGTGGGAGATGTCGGCATATAGAGTCCCGGTACATGGTGTGGGAGATGTCGGCATATAGAGCCCCGGTACAGGGGTGAGAGGTGTTGTCTTGTAGAGCCCCGGTACAGTGGTGGGAGGTGTCGTCTTGTAGAGCCCCGGTACAGGGTGAGAGGAGTCGGCATATAGAGCCCCGGTACAGGGGTGAGAGGTGTCGTCTTGTAGAGCCCCGGTACAGTGGTGGGGGGTGTCGTCTTGTAGAGCCCCGGTACAGGGTGAGAGGAGTCGGCATATAGAGCCCCGGTACAGGGGTGGGAGGAGTCGGCGTGTAGAGCCCGGTACAGGGGTGGGAGGTACCGGCATATAGAGCCCCGGTACTGGGTGGGAGGTACCGGCATATAGAGCCCCGGTACAAGGTGGGAGGTGTCGGCATATAGAGCCCCGGTACAGGGTGGGAGGTGTCGGCATATAGAGCCCCGGTACTGGGTGGGAGGTACCGGCATATAGAGCCCCGGTACAGGGTGGGAGGTGTCGGCATATAGAGCCCCGGTACTGGGTGGGAGGTGTCGGCATATAGAGCCCCGGTACTGGGTGGGAGGTGTCGGCATATAGAGCCCCGGTACAGGGTAGGTGTCGGCATATAGAGCCCCGGTACAGGGTGGGAGGTACCGGGCATATAGAGCCCCGGTACAGGGTGGGAGGTACCGGGCATATAGAGCCCCGGTACAGGAGTGGGAGGTACCGGCATATAGAGCCCCGGTACAAGGGTGGGAGGTACCGGGCATATAGAGCCCCGGTACAAGGGTGGGAGGTACCGGGCATATAGAGCCCCGGTACAGGAGTGGGAGGTACCGGCATATAGAGCCCCGGTACAAGGGTGGGAGGTACCGGGCATATAGAGCCCCGGTACAAGGGTGGGAGGTACCGGGCATATAGAGCCCCGGTACAAGGGTGGGAGGTACCGGCATATAGAGCCCCGGTACAAGGGTGGGAGGTACCGGGCATATAGAGCCCCGGTACAAGGGTGCGAGGTACCGGGCATATAGAGCCCCAGTACAAGGGTGTGAGGTACCGGCATATAGAGCCCCGGTACAAGGGTGGGAGGTACCGGGCATATAGAGCCCCGGTACAAGGGTGGGAGGTACCGGGCATATAGAGCCCCGGTACACGGGTGGGAGGTACCGGGCATATAGAGCCCAGTACAAGGGTGGGAGGTACCGGGTATATAGAGCCCCGGTACAAGGGTGGGAGGTACCGGGCATATAGAGCCCCGGTACAAGGGTGGGAGGTACCGGGCATATAGAGCCCCGGTACAAGGGAGGAGGTACCGGGCATATAGAGCCCCGATACAAGGGTGGGAGGTACCGGGCATATAGAGCCCCGGTACAAGGGTGGGAGGTACCGGGCATATAGAGCCCCGGTACAAGGGTGCGAGGTACTGGGCATATAGAGCCCCGGTACAGGAGTGGGAGGTACCGGCATATAGAGCCCCGGTACAAGGGTGGGAGGTACCGGGCATATAGAGCCCCGGTACAAGGGTGGGAGGTACCGGGCATATAGAGCCCCGGTACAGGAGTGGGAGGTACCGGGCATATAGAGCCCCGGTACAGGAGTGGGAGGTATCGGAATATAGAGCCCCGGTACAAGGGTGGGAGGTACCGGGCATATAGAGCCCCGGTACAAGGGTGGGAGGTACCGGGCATATAGAGCCCCAGTACAAGGGTGGGAGGTACCGGGCATATAGAGCCCCGGTACAAGGGTGGGAGGTACCGGGCATATAGAGCCCCGGTACAAGGGTGGGAGGTACCGGGCATATTGAGCCCCGGTACAAGGGAGGAGGTACCGGGCATATAGAGCCCCGATACAAGGGTGGGAGGTACCGGGCATATAGAGCCCCGGTACAAGGGTGGGAGGTACCGGGCATATAGAGCCCCGGTACAGAGAGAGTGAGCACGGCATAAGAAAGTCCCTCTCTCATTTCTCACTTAGATCCGTCAATTGGCACCTCCAGTAGGTATCAATATATTAAAATTCTTGTTTTCTCAATCTGTTTCATACATTGTTTTCTCATATAAGAGAGAGATACAAGTCTTACAAGCCTTGACGTGCCTTTGCTAGTCCGGGAGATCATACCGTCTACTAGTAGGCGGCAGATTACTCAAGCTCATAGAAAACTAGCAAGTGACGAGTCACTACATTGCCCCTATTTTGGACTCTGGGACCTTCCGGCCCACTATTTACAGTGGCCTTGCGGGCGCTAGTTTCTTTGCCTTGCGGCATATTTCATGTGGCGCCTTGCGGCTATTTTCCTGGTGCTGTGCAAGGCGTTAGTGGGATATTCGAGTATACGTGGGATACTGCTCTTGAGCAGTATCATTTGCTCATTTGAGCAAATGCATGCTCAAATGAGCATGCATTTGAGCATGCTCAAATGCTGCTCAAATATGCAGCATTTGAGCAGCCCCCGGGATGCCACCCACATCAGGCGACTAACATCCAGGTTTCTAATCACTGCTAGGGTGAACAGAGGCAGTGGGTGTAAGGAGCCCATACGCCCGCCTCGCCCTGCCTGGTATACGAACATGGGACCGTTTGGTTGTGAGCCGACTGAGCCAATCACTGCACCACAGGTTACTGTGTGTGTGTGTGTGTGTGTGTGTGTGTGTGTGTGTGTGTGTGTGTGTGTGTGTGTGTGTGTGTGTGTGTGTGTGTGTGTGTGTGTGTGTGTATGTGTGTGTTTATGCTCACCTAATTATGCTTATGGGGGTTGAACTTTGGTTCTTTGGTCTCGCCTGTCAAATATTAATCAACTGGTGTACAGTTTCTGAGCCTACTGGGCTCTATCATATCTACATTTGAAACTGTGTATGGAGTCAGCCTCCACCTAATGAATTCCATTTGTTAACTACTCTGGCACTGACAAATTCTTTCTAATGTCTCTGTGGTTCACTTGGGTACTCAGTTTCCACCTGTCTCCCCTTGTTTGTGTTCACCCGTGCTAAATTGTTTGTCTTTGTCCACCCTGTTAGTTCCTCTGAAAATTGTGTATGTGGTGATCATGTCTCCTCTAACTCCTCTGTCTTCCAGGACGTGAGGTTTAGCTCCCGTAGCCTTTCCTCGTAACTCATACCTCTCAGTTCTCGGTCTGGTGACATACCTCTGAATCTTCTCTAACTTTGTCTTGTGTTTAACTAGGAATGGACTCCAGGCTGGAGCTGCATACTCCAGGACTGGTCTGACATACGTGGTATACAAGGTTCTGAATGATTCCTTATTCAAGTTTCTAAAGGTTCTGATGTTGGCCAGTCTAGCATATGCCGCTGATGATATCCTTTTGAAGTGGGCCTCTGGGGACAGGTTCGATGTGATATCAACCCCAGATCTGATGTGATATCAACCCCCAGATCTGATGTGATATCAACCCCCAGATCTCTCTATTTGACTCTGGCAGGTGTTTACCTCCCACATGTGTGTGGTGTATGTGTGTGTGTGTTCGCGCGATAATATTATTGTGTGAATATACTTGTGAGTGTATATCGCTGAGAATGTAAATAATTGTGAAGTATATTAATGTATATATTTGTACGTGCTGCTATACCAGCAAGGTTAAATACTTATTTTAAGTTAGAAGTGAACCAAACGTTATGGAGCTCATATGTAGGCTTATATTTAATGTATGTGTGTAGGCGTATATTAATGTATATGTGTAGGCTTATATAAAATACATGTGCAGGTCTATATTAACAGGTTAGTATGTATGTGAGAGAGTTTAAGACTTGAGTATATTCGTGAGTATATTTGAAAAATTATGAATGCCAGAGTATTATTGAGAATATTAGTGGTGGATATGAAGGATTGGGAATATTTAGTATGATAAATTAGTGAAAGTGAATAATTACTCGGAGTAAACGTATTACACTATGAACTGAAGGTGAGTATATTATTATTAATATTAGAGAACATGTGTATATTAATACAATATTAGAGAACATGTATACATTACTACTAATATATTAGTGAACATATGAATATTACTAGAAACATTAGAGAAAATGTGTTTATATCGACCAATATTATAGAAAATGTATATAGTCATATCACATTTTATTATTATTATTTTATTATGTATTATTTTTATTATTATTATTATTATTATTTCACAATATTAGTGAAAGTGATATAGTAAGGAAAGTGTGAGTATTAGAGGAAAGAGAAGCGAGCGAGAACATGTAGTGACTGACTGTGTGTGTACTAGAGAGAGAGGATAAAGCCTAGCCAGCCCATAAGTATTAACAATGTATGTAAAGAGAAAGGTAACTCGAACGAGTATGTGTACTCCGTGTGTGCTCTGACAGGTGTGTATGATGAGCGGTGGGGGCACGGTCGAGGGTGGGCCAGGGGTGGGCCACATCAAGCAGGAGGACGGTGGCTACGGTGGCCCACCCACCACCACACACCACCACACGAGGCCCAGGCAGATATCATCATGTTCGTCTCCTTCTACCACCGCCATCGCCTCGGAGGTAAGTGCTCTACCAACACTTGTAACCCAGTTCCTTCCTGTTCTCTTTCTTTTGTTTTTAGTGGAGACTAGAGGTCATTAGGGCTGGCAGTTGTGGTGTCTAGTGAAACTGCTAACAAGCGCTGTTATCCTTCCTTAGCTCATCTGAAGTCTGTCCCTAGAGACTCGTTCATTTCAGTCATTAGCAATAAGTTTTATTTAAATCTAAGTAACAATGATATAAGGAAGAGGATGAGCGTGTAGCCAACTATGTGTCAGAGCCTTCATGTGATCAGTTGACCTGATCTCCCGTGTATCAACCTGTTGGGCCAACAAGTTCCTGATGCCAGTCAGCCTCGGAGTGAATGGTCGCTGATGGAGTGATGTTCTTGAGAAAGGCACTTCCAGCAAGTACTGTTGAAGATTGTGAGCCTAGTGCTACGGGAATCAACTACTGGTTGTCCACGGAGTTGGGCCAGGTGCGGAACTTTGAGAATGTTGACCTTGTACACAACAGTAAGACCACGAACATGACGACGGTGTTGCAGGCTCTGATGCTCAGACCGTTCCCACCAGACTTGGTCAAGACTAGAGATGAGCCTTCATGCACGACTCTCCACTTTGTCCAACAGCCTGATGAATGACGGAGGCGGTCCAGGAAAAGTGTGCATAATCTAGATGAGAGTGACCTTACACTTCGTATAAGGCTTTGCGGCCCCTGTTGTCAAGATGTGATATACTTACTGTAGGGCTGTAAGTTTCCTGTCCGCCTTTTGGGCTAGGTTAAGCACGTGGCTCTTCGTTGTCCTTGAAGAGTCCAACTTCATTAACAATTTTTTTTTTTATTAACATATTAGGAACATCTGCATTAGTGCAGCTGCCCTAGACTATATGAAGTGGAGTACAGTGTGTCAAAAAGAAGCTAACTAGGTGATGCTAAGAAATCCCCATCACACAGGATGGTTAGTCATACAGACAAAAATGTCAGTTTCATGTGTGAACTCTAGGGGTTTTGGCGCCCATTTGCAAGTCTGTGTCTGATTTGCAATGTGCAGCCTAGTTATGATCATCGCTGGTGTTTCCTCAGCCACACATGTCACCTGTCATCTCCTGCTCCAGGTAGACTTCGCTAATAGTTTGTGACTGATGAGTCTTGCAGCGGTTGGCATTTTTTTCCTTTCTGTTTGAAAATGTTAGAGTATTGTCATCAGCATAGACTTCAGTAATGAAGGGATGGGAACTATCAGAAAAAAGTGCCAAGCCATTTAAACTATATAGACCTTGCAAGGGGTCAGGATAAAGATTTGGGATGAGGCGGGGGGGGGGGGAAGAATGGTGCCCAACCACTTGGACGATCGGGGATGGAACACCGACCTGCACGAAAAAAAACGAAAAAACAAGTCGATCGATGAAATAAACATTCCATAGAAGAGGGCCATGCATACTACCCTGTGTAACGATGTCTCAAATTGAATGGCTTTCGGATTTGAGAAGACTCTTAGACTACCTTCAAGAACGGACTGTAAGACGGACTGCAAGAGTCCGTTCTTGAAGGTGATCACAGGACCCAAGTACCGATGTTATTGTGTACAAAAGTAATCTCCCCCCCTCTCTCTCTCTCTCTCTCTCTCTCTCTCTCTCTCTCTCTCTCTCTCTCTCTCTCTCTCTCTCTCTCTCTCTCTCTCTCTCTCTCTCTCTCTCTCTCTCTCTCTCTCTCTCTCTCTCTCTCTCTCTCTCTCTCTCTCTCTCTCTCTCTCTCTCTCTCTCTCTCTCTCTCTCTCTCTCTCTCTCTCTCTCTCTCTCTCTCTCTCTCTCTCTCTCTCTCTCTCTCTCTCTCTCTCTCTCTCTCTCTCTCTCTCTCTCTCTCTCTCTCTCTCTCTCTCTCTCTCTCTCTCTCTCTATCTCTGTATATATATATATATATATATATATATATATATATATATATATATATATATATATATATATAACTATCTCATCCCTTTGTGTGTATTTTTACCTCCAAAAAATCTTATTTAAATTTCAATTTCATGGATATATGAAGTAGGAAATCTGGACTCTAAGTAACCCACTCGGCAGAACCTCAGTTTACTCTAGAAACTCTTGCAAGCTGATATAACTACAACATTAAGGATTATCTGGATATCTGTTAGGAGATAACCCATTAAAACGTCCATGGTGGGCCCCCATGGTGGGCCTCCATGGTGGGCCTCCATGGTGGGCCTCCATGGTGGGTCCCCATGGTGGGCCCACACCGCCGCCCCTCCGGCCCCTGACAAGGTGACGGGCAGCGTCAAGCCCTCACCCCACGACTCTCATCATTCATAGTCACGCTCTGTAATGACTCATTTAACCCACACTCTCTTCGTGGCTATATAAACGAGTCCACTTTTCCTTCAGAAAAGTTAAGCTTGAACAGCGAGCATGTACAGCAACATTGAACAGCACGTATGTACATGAAGATTATACAGTAAATATGTACAGCAAATATGTACATGAAGCTTGATCATCAAGATTGTACAGCAAGCATGTACAAGAAGAATGTATAGTAAACATGTACAGCAAGGGTGTACATGAAGCTTGATCATCAAGATTGTACAGCAAGCATGTACAAGAAGAATGTATAGTAAACATGTACAGCAAGGGTGTACATCATGGTTAAACAGCAAGCATGTTCGGCAAGATTGTACATCAATACTGAACAGTATTATATACAAGAAGACCACTGTAAACATGTCTTGCAAGAGTGTATAGCAAGCTTGTATAACAAGCTTGTATAGCAAGCTTGTATAACAAGCTTGTATAACAGGCTTGTATAGCAAGCTTGTATAACAAGCTTGTATAACAAGCTTGTATAACAAGCTTGTATAGCAAGCTTGTATAACAAGCTTGTATAACAAGCTTGTATAACAGGCTTGTATAGCAAGCTTGTATAACAAGCTTGTATAGCAAGCTTGTATAACAAGCTTGTATAACAGGCTTGTATAGCAAGCTTGTATAACAAGCTTGTATAGCAAGCAAGCTTGTATAACAGGCTTGTATAGCAAGCTTGTATAGCAAGCTTGTATAACAAGCTTGTATAACAGGCTTGTATAGCAAGCTTGTATAACAAGCTTGTATAACAGGCTTGTATAGCAAGCTTGTATAACAAGCTTGTATAACAGGCTTGTATAGCAAGCTTGTATAACAAGCTTGTATAACAGGCTTGTATAGCAAGCTTGTATAACAAGCTTGTATAACAGGCTTGTATAGCAAGCTTGTATAACAAGCTTGTATAACAGGCTTGTATAGCAAGCTTGTATAACAAGCTTGTATAGCAAGCTTGTATAACAGGCTTGTATAGCAAGCTTGTATAACAAGCTTGTATAACAGGCTTGTATAGCAAGCTTGTATAACAGGCTTGTATAACAAGCTTGTATAGCAAGCTTGTATAACAGGCTTGTATAACAAGCTTGTATAACAAGCTTGTATAACAGGCTTGTATAGCAAGCTTGTATAACAAGCTTGTATAACAGGCTTGTATAGCAAGCTTGTATAGCAAGCTTGTATAACAGGCTTGTATAACAGGCTTGTATAACAAGCTTGTATAGCAAGCTTGTATAACAAGCTTGTATAACAAGCTTGTATAACAAGCTTGTATAACAGGCTTGTATAACAAGCTTGTATAACAAGCTTGTATAACAGGCTTGTATAACAAGCTTGTATAACAAGCTTGTATAACAGGCTTGTATAGCAAGCTTGTATAGCAAGCTTGTATAACAGGCTTGTATAACAGGCTTGTATAACAAGCTTGTATAGCAAGCTTGTATAACAGGCTTGTATAACAAGCTTGTATAACAAGCTTGTATAACAGGCTTGTATAGCAAGCTTGTATAGCAAGCTTGTATAACAGGCTTGTATAGCAAGCTTGTATAGCAAGCTTGTATAACAGGCTTGTATAACAAGCTTGTATAGCAAGCTTGTATAACAGGCTTGTATAGCAAGCTTGTATAGCAAGCTTGTATAACAGGCTTGTATAGCAAGCTTGTATAGCAAGCTTGTATAACAGGCTTGTATAACAGGCTTGTATAACAAGCTTGTATAGCAAGCTTGTATAGCAAGCTTGTATAACAGGCTTGTATAACAGGCTTGTATAACAAGCTTGTATAGCAAGCTTGTATAACAAGCTTGTATAACAAGCTTGTATAACAAGCTTGTATAACAGGCTTGTATAACAAGCTTGTATAACAAGCTTGTATAACAGGCTTGTATAACAAGCTTGTATAGCAAGCTTGTATAACAAGCTTGTATAACAAGCTTGTATAACAAGCTTGTATAACAGGCTTGTATAGCAAGCTTGTATAACAGGCTTGTATAACAGGCTTGTATAACAAGCTTGTATAACAGGCTTGTATAGCAAGCTTGTATAACAAGCTTGTATAACAGGCTTGTATAGCAAGCTTGTATAACAAGCTTGTATAACAAGCTTGTATAACAGGCTTGTATAACAGGCTTGTATAGCAAGCTTGTATAACAGGCTTGTATAACAGGCTTGTATAACAAGCTTGTATAACAGGCTTGTATAGCAAGCTTGTATAACAAGCTTGTATAACAAGCTTGTATAGCAAGCTTGTATAACAGGCTTGTATAACAAGCTTGTATAACAAGCTTGTATAACAAGCTTGTATAACAAGCTTGTATAACAAGCTTGTATAGCAAGCTTGTATAACAAGCTTGTATAACAAGCTTGTATAACAAGCTTGTATAACAAGCTTGTATAGCAAGCTTGTATAACAAGCTTGTATAACAAGCTTGTATAACAAGCTTGTATAACAAGCTTGTATAGCAAGCTTGTATAACAAGCTTGTATAACAAGCTTGTATAACAAGCTTGTATAGCAAGCTTGTATAACAAGCTTGTATAGCAAGCTTGTATAACAAGCTTGTATAACAAGCTTGTATAGCAAGCTTGTATAACAAGCTTGTATAACAAGCTTGTATAACAAGCTTGTATAGCAAGCTTGTATAACAAGCTTGTATAGCAAGCTTGTATAGCAAGCTTGTATAACAAGCTTGTATAACAAGCTTGTACAGCAAGCTTGTATAACAAGCTTGTACAGAAAGATTTAAGAGGAAATGTTGGAGATTGTCTGGTTACCATGACAACAGTGCCAGGCTCCGGCTCTATATATAACCGTTGACAGCTGAGCAGAGATAAGTACCTTTTATTTATACATTATTATCAATGCACAATTTTAAATGAGGAAACAAAATATGGAATCGAGTCACTGTATTAACTAAGAGCGGGCGTCTTGTAAGCCGTCTTGGAGAGTACACACACACACACACACACACACACACACACACACACACACACACACACACACACACACACACACACACACACACACACACACACACACACACACACAGTGGAAATAGATGAAATGTTCACACGTAATAATAACAGAACGAGGGGACATGGGTGGAAACTGGAAACTCAGATGAGTCACAGATATGTTAGGAAGTTTTCTTTTAGCGTGAGAGTAGTAGAAAAATGGAATGCACTTGGGGAACAGGTTGTGGAAGCAAATACTATTCATACTTTTAAAACTAGGTATGATAGGGAAATGGGACAGGAGTCATTGCTGTAAACAACCGATAGCTAGAAAGGCGGGATCCAAGAGTCAATGCTCGATCCTGCAAGCACATATAGGTGAGTACATATAGGTGAGTACACACACAGGGCCGTGGTTGAATGGACAGCGCTTTGGACTCGTAATCCCAGGGTCCGGGTTCGATCCCGGCCGCCGGCGGAAACAGATAGGCCGAGTTTTTTTCACCCTGATGCACCTGCTACCTAGTAGTAAATAGGTACCTGGGAGTTACACAGCTGTTACGGGCTGCTTCCTGGGTGTGTACTCACCTATTTGTGCCTGCAGGATCGAGCATTGACTCTTGGATCCCGCCTTTCTAACCATCGGTGTTTACAGCAATGACTCTTGTCCCATTTCCCTATCATATCTATTTGTAAAATTATGAATATAGTTTGCTTCCACAACCTGCTCCTTAAGTGCATTCCATTTTCCCACTACTCTCACGCTAAAAGAAAACTTCCTAACATCTCTGTGACTCATCTGAGTTTCCAGTTTCCACCCATGTCCCCTCGTTCTGTTATTATTACGTGTGAACATTTCATCTATTTCCACTTT